TGTCCAAGTTTCATGTATTTGGTGGCTTTGACCTACAGTGTACCTGTAGGCGGGAGCATCGGATGGACGGTTGGTTCCAGTTAGACGGCGGGAGAGTCTGATTCTCGCGTTGTATTCGACAAACCTGCTTTGGTTTTGAAGCCAGAAGGAAACTGCCGTTGTGACCATATTGTGCTCAGCTCGCCTGCTTCTGTTGCTTTCGGCAGTCGGCCTCTGGCATCATTGGCGACCAACACGACGTCGCCGGGGAAGCCAACGGCCGCGTCCAACCGCAACGGCAAGCGGAAGGCGGAAGATGCGCCGCGGGTGCCTCCCCAGGTGAGATATTTGAACTATTTTCGTTGGTGGATACCAGCGCGTGCAGCTCCGTCTTTTTTGGTTCTCGTTCTCCTGTTGGTGGCTGAAGTCGCCGTGCAAACCCACACCCAACCCCCCTCGCCTTGTTTGTTCATGCCGAAGCTACAGCGTAGGAGCTCGCGGCAGAGGAATAACGTCTGCTACATGGAGGACGAACGTGACGCGGATGAAGACGACGAGGAGGAGGAGGAGGTGACGGTGTAGTCACGAGCCAACACTCCTTTTTTTGTGTTGTGTTTTGCGCGGAATGCAGCGCGATTGGCTTTCGTGCGGGCGCGCATGTGTTTGCGTTTGTGCGTGGTTGCTTTTTTCCACGCCCTCGGAGCGCGATGAGCCCGTGCTCTTCCCTCTCCCCCCTGCCTCGGTAATGTTGTGTCAAGGTCGAGGTGTTCCCGCTTGCTGCACGCTTCGGGTGTCAGCTTTTCTGGCGCTGTCAGGGTTGTGCACATGCTGGACGATGCTACGTCGGGATTAATGAGCGGTGGTGTGTCGTTCTGATGTATACGCCAAACACCGGCGTTTTAACGTAATCAACAACACCGTACATGCTCTGCTTCTCGCCCGCCTCCATGCCTATATCCCCAAGACCTTGGATCTCGAGGACATGGACACATCCGAGGACAGTGCTACCGGCGACCAGCGCCCCGATGTGGCCCGCGGAGAGGTACGGGTTTTGCCGATAGCTGCGAGTGGAATAGAGACGCGCAAAACTTCGTGACCCTTGGCGGTATGCTGTTGTTGTGCTCGTGGCAAATACGCCAGGCTCTGTGAAATGCATGGCGCCCGAGCTCCCGTCGCCACCCAGTTGAGCGTCGCTGCACAGGAGAAAACATCACGGTACGCGCTTGATGTTTTGCCCTCGCATCCATAGTTTGATGACGCGAAAGACATGTTGGGCTCTGAGTTCTGCTGGTTCATCCACGCTTCGTGCGTCTTAGATGCGCACAGGAAGCGGCACCGCCCATGCGGGGGCTGGTCAACACGGGCAATACGTTCTGGCACAACGCTCCTTTGCAGGTCATGGCGTCCAATAGCACGACCCTCGTGAAGTGGCTGGCGAAGCTGGTATGTATGGCATGCTTGGCTGTCGCTGGCTCAAAAAGACAACGACCATGGTATCCTAGACTTGTTGACATGACCCCGGCTCGATTCTCTTCTCGGGTATACTTCGATGGGCTTTGTGCACGTCGAGGATACGAGTGTCCCCTCCCCGGGCTCGGTATGATTGACGGCGAGGGCCTCGGCTGGAGTGACGTAGCGTTCATTTTCCAGCTCCAACAGCGAGCCGAGTTTGACCAGGCGAGCCGGCTCGCATGGCCAGCAGATATCTATTTGGGTGTGTGGCCTCGGCGTTGCTGTCCGATGTCCTCCCATGCCCTGCTCCACGAAAGGCCGAGCTGCGAGGAGACGACAGAAGGGCCGTCACGGGGCGTTTCCCGCTACTCGCGGCATTGGCCGACACGGCCCACCAGGTGCGGCTATTCTGGGATCACGAGACCAGCGCCGTACAGTAAGGTGGCGCCGTTCTCTTCGGTATGTACCTGCTGATCCCTCGCCCCAGTAACTGTCCCGTGTGTGCCCGTATTCGATATACGCGGGGTTGGAGTTGTGGTGCGGGTGCGTCTCGGCCGAACCGCGGGGTATCATATCGTGCGTCGCGTACATAAAAGTGTTGTGTACTCGAGTCCTCCCCTCTTGTAGGTCAAGCACGGGAATGTCTGTCAACACTCGAAGATTTTCAAAGGCCTTGTCTCCCTCGACACGGGTATGCAACTGTGATGAATCTCACCTGCACATCAACTCTCCGGGGCGGGCGGCCATCCCCTTCCTTCACCGGGCGCTCCTTAACACCCCGGTAATGTCGTCGCGGCTGAGTGGGATGATCTCGTCGGGGGATCAGGTAAGTAGCAAGGCGGGGTGTTACCGTTGTCCTGTGAGGTTGGGTACGTAGTCCATGCCTGCTTGCCACGCCAGGGACCACGACATTCGGGTACAGCCTGCTGGTCGGCGCGAGTTGCTGTTGGTGCTCCGGTCGGTGTTGACTCGCTCCTCCGCATACAATGTCGTTGTCACCTGTATTTGATGTGTGGACAGCATTGCACCCACGAGGCTTGTACCCTGCTATTCGGCGCGATCGGTGAAGAGGCGACGGCGACGAGAGCGGTAGGTCCGGGAGCTCGGCAGCGACACCCCCTGGAAGCCGCCGCCATGACGAGCTCCACCCACGTGAGCGCCAGGGAGGGGGAGGGGGGGAGGGGGCATGCATGTTGCTGGGCGGGAAGAGCGATGGCACCTGTTTCCATACATTCTGGAGACGACCCCTACGAAGCGTCGGCAGGCATATGTGCCGCAATTATAGACGGTTTAGTTCTCATTTTTTTTTTTTATTAGCGCACGTTTGCGATAACTCCGATACCTGCGCGAAAATCGAAGTACATCGTTTGGTTCTACATCGCAACGCACACCCCCGTGCGATGAATCCGATATGTGCGGTTCTGAAGAAACAAAAGCTGTGATATGGGGTGTTTTCGAAGGCACAACCTTGTGCGATGACTCCGATATTTGCGGTTCTGAAGGAAAGAGAGCTGTGGTATGAGGCGATTCGATGGCCAAAATGAACAAATATACGAGGAAGATGAATTGGACCGCGCGTTGCGTTTGAGCCCCGTCCCTGGCCGAAATGAACAGCAGTTTACATAGTCCATTACTACCGCATGTTTCATCGCGCAAATGGTGGACACCGCTCATGGTATCTCGCCCAACCCTGCCGCGCATGTGTTCGATAACCCCGATACCTGTGCGAAAATCGAATCAAACCAGTAGGGACCCGTGTTTTGATCGCACAGGGATGCGATAACCCCGATATATGTGATGGCCCCGATTATTGCGGAAACTTCCCGCCCCGTTATGTAGTACTTTGCGACCACTACTCTCAACGACCCCAAATTGACGCTCGCACCCGCAGGTTCACTGCATACCTTGCGGGAGGGAGCGCGTGACCGGGCGGCACCGCGATATGGGCATCCTCCTCGACTTGGGCGACAACGACAATCAGGCCCCCGTACCACTGGAGACGCTGTTCCGAGAGTCGATCATGGCGCACGCAGCGGACGAGGACGTCGAGTGCGAACGGTGCGGGAAGCGCACTCCCAGCCAGTAAAGGACGGAGCACGTAGAGGTATGGGCGAGGCCACCGGGTGTATGCATTTCAGGGTTCAACATCACGCGCNCGCGCCCCCCCCCCCCCGTGTGTAGGCCCCTGATAACGATCAGCTGCACGACATAGACAAAGAGTTGCTTGTCGCTCCCGGTCGGTCGACGGCGTGGGCGTTGTGTGTAAAGGGCGGCGCATGGAAATTCGGCAGGCTATGAAGGAATGTTGGAAGCAAGCAGTTCTTGGCCAGCTGCCCAGCAGGTAGCGTAGGCGTCGTCGTTGGCTCCGGGTGCCCCGAACGGCGAGATACGCTCAGCCAACGACAACCCACAGGGAGGGTGAGGCACAACGATGATGCACCGCCTCGCGAAAATATATATTTTCGTGTTTCGTGCATACAACCCATCGCGTCTCCCTCGACCAACTACCGACATTCATCGCAGATATCTGCAACGTTGGTCGCAAACTTGAAGAGGACCACCTGGGCCGATGGGGGGGCCACGAAAAACGACAGGCAGGTTATCTTGGGGCGGACAGCGACGCTGCCGCGAACCCTAGCGGGCGCGGCAGGTCAGGGAACCCCCCCCGCCAAGTACAGTGTCCAGGGGTGAGTTTCGTTGTCCATGCCGTTGGCTCATCCCCTCGGCAGTGAATAGGTCGGGAGGTGGGAAGGGAGATATAGGAGGAGGGGGGCGGGGCGCTCGCTCCCCTGCCCTGTTGCGGACGTACCAGGCAGCAGGCCTGCGACTTGACATAAACAGTAGCGTGTCGGAGTCGTTGGGTGTAAAGTCGGGCTCGGTGTAGCGGTTGTTGTGTGTAGCTAATAGTACTTCCTGTCGTGAACTCGAACCCCAAACAACACCCAGGTTGGAGACCGACGAGGGAGGCGAAGACAGCCGCGGGCATGTCGTCGCCTACGTGCGTACCGACGACCGCTGGTTTTGCGTGTCCGACCATGTCGTGGTAGAGGTGAGTAGAACGAAATCGAGACGCCCCTGGGGAGGTTGGCGATCTCGTTGTCTCCCTCTCGGTACAACAGTCGCCCCCCAGCAAACCCCCTCGGGGTCGTTTTGATTCATGCCCCTGGGAAGGTTGGCGATCTCGTTGTTTCCCTCTCGGTACAATAGCCGCCCCCCAGCAAAACCCCCTCGGGGTCGTTTTGATTCACTCATACTCCCTGAATGTAGTTCGCGAGAGGTTCTTGGGCCGGGAGTGGAATAGCAATCCGTTGGCAGTACTCGGAGAAGGCGAAACCAAGCACCCTCCCTCCCCCCTCCCCCGCTCTCGCCCCCTTGCGTTGTCATCGCTCTCGCACCAGAAGTACGGAACTGCGGCGGCGGCGGCGGTGCTTCCCAAGCGACAACGTCGGCGGCTGCAGCAGCAGTTCCAGCGATGCCGGGGTCGTGGTTGATCTGACCCACCGGAGCGACGCCGACGAGGAGCTCTACCGGCATCATGTCGGCAACACGACCGTGGCCCTCTGCACCGAATGAGGACGAAGCTGGAAGACGCTGAAATCCGCGCCGAGATTTCACGGGCAGTGAAGCCGGTGCTACTTGAGCCGCGTCGGTCCGCTAAAGAACTGAAGGGCGCGCTCAAGATGGCGTGCGGAAAAGTTGCCAGGATACTCTTGGATTCGGAGAAGCTGCCGCCGCAGGTGTCCCCTTTCTTCCTCAACGACTGCTTCGATCAGCCAGAGCGAGGTGCCTCGTACGCCCTCGTGGGCTTTATGTGCCCCGCACACGAAGACAATGTCGGCTTCTCCGGAGAGAGCGGAAACCGGACGATAAAGCTCCACCGCCTGATCGAGTCTGCGGTGGCGAGCCAGGGCCACGACCGGGCTGTATGCGTCAACACGAACGCCGTGCGCTGCCTGAAGAGTGGCGATGGCAGCCACGCTAACCCTTTCGCTCGCGACGAGAACGTCGACAGCGTGTCCCAACTTCTTCGCGCCATGTACTTCGCGGGTCTCCACGCGTACGGCGTGAAGATCACGCGAATCGTCCAGTGCCGCGTGAGCGAGGAGCCGGAGAGAGGGCCGTTCCACCTGGGACTCTGATCTGGGCTTGTTCCGGCGGCGGGGCTCCTGCTCTCTTCGTCCAACACCCCGTTCGTCGCCGCTCCTCACCTGACGGCGACCAAGGTCAGCCGAAGCTACCACGAGGGACTCGCGGCGAGGGTTGCCGCGCAGATCGTTCAGGCGCGGTCGGGCGAGAAGGGACCGCGGCTTTCCTCCGCCGGGCGTGTAGTGTTCGACTCCGTGCGTGCCGGAACCACTGAGGCAGCCTTTCGTGTTTGCCCAGAGGACATCGGTCCCCCCACCCCCAGCTCCGGGTCTGCTGCGTCGGAGCAGGCCGTCACAAACCTGAGGTCGATGCTTGAGGCGAGTCTCTGCGGCAGTCTCGGTTCGTGAGATGTGGCGGCATCGGCTGTGTCTCGTATCTTCGCCCCACCGAGCGAGGGCGAGGCGAAGGAGTCGGCAGCCGCTGCGAAGAATGCCAATGACGCTAGGTTCAGGCACGTGGTCCCCGACCGCGACGGCGTCAAGCATAGCGGGGTGGCAGGCGGCTTGGCCTCGGGAGTAGCAATAGTGGATACGTGGGCGCCGGACGTTTGCGACAGCGGTCGTCTGATCGAGCGGGGGCCGGGACCGCGTGACCAGAGGGTCGCGCATAGCTTGCACATGAATTCCTTCCTGCTCGTATGGGCTCATGGTGGAGCGTCTTCCCCGCTGGGAAAAGCGACTCGTCCCAGCCGGGACGACCTCTTGGGCGACAAGCAAGCCCGCCGGAGGTTGGGCAAGCCCCCGCTGCTTCTCGATAGGCAGGGGGTAACGGACGGTGGAGGCAAGGAGCAGACGGGATACCGTATGCCAAGCAAGCGCGTGGAGGCCGTGGGCAGGGCCGTCTGCAAGGCAACGCTGAAAGCGGCGGTCTCAAAAGGCGGGGTGAGGGTGATGGTGTCCACGAACGGGGCGGGGGGAGTTGGAACCCCTGATCTGCTGCTGGAGATGTTTCGTGAGGATAGGTGGGACGACAAGGAGGTTTCTGTCGATTGTCGTCGGTTGTTCCTCGGCCGGTACGGCTGCTCCTTCGGCATAGGGGACACGGTTGGTAGTGCTGCGACCGCGAACATGGTCTACCCGCCAGACCACACCGCTGGATCGAGCTTCTTGCTGTACTCCACCGGCGGGCAGGCTTCGTACATTGCCTGCGCCGAGATGGGACTTCTCAAGATGGGTCAGGTCGCAGGGGTCTCGGGGGCGGGGGAAGACGCCATTTTTTTGCATTTCCTCGGGCGCTTTTGTGGATTGGAGCTTTTCCTCGCTGCCCTCGCCTCTCGCGATGGTCAGAGTGTCAAGTTCGCCGAGAGACTTCACCGGGCCCTTGTCGCGCACGGAGCAGTAGGCGTTGTGCGCTGCCTCAAGGGTTCGGCCGGAGGTAGGGTCCCCTGCAATAGGATTGAATTGTGCTGGCGCCAAATCGATTGCTATCCCGCCCACGTGGCCTCCACAGCCCCGCCCCCCGCCCTGTGCCCCAACGTTAAAAGTTGGCAGCGAGTGCTCCCGCGGGAGAATCAAGTAGGTGCCGGTGCGGAGGATTGTTGTTGTCGCTGTATTCGTGTAGGTCCTAACTACAGTCTGGATCGCTTTGGATCACATTTGGCGCCAAATCGATTGCAGTCTCGCCCACGTGGCCTCCACAGCCCCGCCCCCCCTTTTGCCCCAACGTTTAAAAGTTGGCAGAGATCGCTCGCGAATTGCTTTGCCGGCGGGCTCAAGTCGAGTGCCCAACCGCAGTCGATTATCATCTTGTTTTTGCTCCCGTTGTCGGTGGTTGGTGGTTGTCGCTGCTGCTGCCGCGGCTGCTGCTGCGGCTGCTGCTGCTGTCTGCTTGGCAGGTGTCAGGCTGAGCGATTTGCCTCGAGAGCGTGCCGAGTAGACGCATTATGCCTCAACCCCCCTCGCCGCCCGCTCGTCCAACGCGTCCACCAACACCACGTCCACCCGACACAGCGGACACCGGCTACGTCCTCAACGGGGAGCTGGTGCACCGCAACACCCCCGGAGCCCAGCGGATGACCAAGGGCGCTGCCGCCCTCAAGGGTAAGAAACCGGGTGTCTGTTGTTGTCGTTCGCATGCTGTTACTCTCGTTGTCGGTGTGCTAGCGTCTAAGGATATCCCGGGGGCCACGTACATCACCGAGGGAGGTGCAGGGCTCAAGGGTGAGTGAGAGAGAACCTCCGGTTGTCGTTGTTGCCGTTCGTAGTGGTGCTGCCTTTGGTGGCCTTGAAATCATCGCCGATCATCGATCTCGGATGGCTCCCTGCATTGTGCTGGCGCCAAATCGATTGCAGTCTCGCCCACGTGGCCTCGACAGCCCTGCCCCCCCCCCTGTGCCCCAACGTTTAAAAGTTGGCAGAGATCGCTCGCGTCAGAGAATCAAGTAGGTGCCGCTGGGGGATTTACTTTCTTCTGCCCGCGAGAGATCAGTACCAACATTAACTGCCTTACCGCATCAAGAGGACAAGCCTGTAATGATTACCTCTACTCAACGTCTCCAACGGTAGCAGCGCACACACACCCGCCCCCCGGCAAAAAACTAATCCGCACGCCCCGGGACACTAACCTCTCTCCACCCTAATGTGCCCACCCTTGCCCCGCCAGCCACTGCCGACCTGAGCGCCAAGACGTTGGCGCGTCCGGCGCACCAGCGCACGGTCAAGTCGGGGAGGGTTCCCCTTTGCGGCAACGTCAACAAGACCGCGGCAGAGCGGGGAAAGGACAAGTTTACCAACGAGGGCAAGGCCGACGCCGTTGAGGCTGTGTGATGTTGCCCGATATTGTTGGTGCCCTCGTTGTCGGTTGGTGTTGCTGTCGCTGTCGCTGTCGCTTTCATTGTCTCTTGATGTTGAAGGTGTTTCTAGAGCTCTTTTCCGATTGGATGCAGTCGTGCCAAGTGCGGCTGTTGCGCCAAATCGGTTGCTATCTCGCCANCCCCCCTGTGCCCCCCGACGTTAAAAGTTGGCACCACCTTCGCCTGATCGCCACCACCTTTGCCCTATACATTATGTTGGGTCTTTTTCTGCCACTTGTTTTGCGTCTGTCGCCAGTCTCTGCCACGTCGACAGGCAGAGAATTGCATCGTGTTAGCGCCAGTCGTCACCCGCGTAGCCTCTCCGTTTCCGCGCCACCATGAAAACGTTGGTGACATCAGGAGTACAAAGACAGAGTCATGTACACGAAACATTAGGCTCTACAATCTCCCCCCCCCCCCCTCCCTCGTTCTTTCTCTCCCTCTCTCCCCTTTGCCGGCCACTCTCCGCACGTAGGCAAGGCGGATTACGCCGCCGGCGACATCAAGGCAGGCAGGGCCGTGTACCAAAGAACGAAGAAGGGCAAGGCTAACGGCGGCGAGGTTTGATTCTTGCTCGAACTGTTGTTGTTGCTGTCGCTGTCGTTGTGACCTGGTGGTGTAGGTGCAGTATCCGAGAGCGCTTTTTCATTGGATGCGTAGATGCCAAATGTTGGCTCTTGCGCCTAGGGTTGCAATGCCTGAATTGTTGGTGCTCTGGTTGTCGGTTGGTGTTGTTGTCGCCTTTCATTGTCGGTTGGTGTAATAGGTGTTTCTAGAGCTCTTTTCCGATTGGATGCAGTCGTGCCAAGTGCGGCTGTTGCGCTAACCGTTGCTGTCTCGCCCACGTGGCCTCCACAGCCCCGCACCCCTCTGCCCCGAGGTTGAAAGTTGGCAGAGGTCGCTCGCGTTGTGGTTTCAAGTAGGTTCAAGCAAGGGCCAGAGTCGTTGCTTTACGTCGCCCACGCCGCCCCCATCATTTCGATTGGCAGAGGTTTGTTCGCGATTGATATGAAGTGGTTGATGCGGGTCGAACACCAACGTTAAACACACGGCACCCCCATGATCAAATCGTCGGGGCTCGTAACGACACAATCAACCGTTTCAACCCTTTGGCCCGCAGGCGCCGACGGAGACCCGGCCAAGAAGGGGGTGGGGGCCGGAATGTCCAGCGGCAACCGTGCTGGCTCCAAGGTGCCGTACGACGACAACCTCGTCGACGTCCCAGACGTGGAGCTGCTGTGCGCGAAATGCGACAAGGACTGGAGGACATTTTCCAGGACCAAAGGCCACCCAAGAGGGCGCGTCTACGAGGCGGAGGGGGTGGTCGTGATGGTGCAGCCGCAGCACAGGAGTTGCAACAAGGCACGTTGCAAGCACGTGGAGGGCGCCACGGTTTGGATAGGGGGCAAGGAGTACACGGTGATGTCCGCGACGGACGGGCAATTCCGGCGGCAGGTCGGAAAGTGATGGCGCATCCCCTGTGATTTCTCATGGTTCGTCGTGCTGGAGCTGTGTTGCGCCACAGAGTGGAGGGTGTATTGAAGTTGGGTTGGCGATCGGGACTTTGGGGCGTATACAGTTCCCCGCAGCAGTGTTTGCATACTGGTGTCGCAGATGCCCGTAGTGCCCGCAGCCACACGATCTCAGGAGAGCATGCAGTGGGCACAAGGCAAGAGTTGTGTGCTACTTCTGTGTGCATCATAACTGCCTCGCGAAACGCTACGAGTAGGCCCGCCGTGCGGATCCCTCGGGCATTGTGTGTACCTTGCACCCGAAAGATGGGTTTGTTCGACGGAGGTTGATTTGTAGGGAAATCCTCTCGTTGTTCCAAGGCGTCCTCCACTCTTGTCTAGCCATATGGACGGTGCTTGTACACATACGAGAGAAGAGGTACTATTACATAGAGTAGGGGTGTGCTGGTTCCTGACGTTATACAAGCGCGTCAGTGCGATTAAGTGCTTCGTAGGGTGTGGTAGTCGCTGGGGACGGGTCCGACACAGCAAATGGCACCCTGGAATAGGAACCGCGGAACGCACGTCGAATCTCTTGTGTTTCATTTTGGCCGAAGCAATGCAAGTTCCACAGGCGTCTGGGGCTACCAGAATTTGATTGGATGGATTATTCTACTCCTGTGAGACCTAGCCTCCGTGAGGATGTCGTCGACGTTGGGTCGGGTTGGGTGCATGGGGCGTACCCCCGCGGTTGCTGGTCGATCTGCCCTGGTAGAGGGAAACCTTGCCCCGTGAAAGTCTTGCCATGTACACTACGGGGTGGGCTTCAGAGATATTAGAAGCGTCAGACAAAGCGAATGTCGCCGGGTTTCATTATCTCCGCCCTGGGTCTATCTCGTCGTGCATTTGCCCTGGAGCTTTGGCACGTAGTTTTCAGTCCAGCCAGGGGCGAGACATGCGTGTTTCATGGCGCCCCCAGAGGAGGAAGAATTCGGATAGGGTAGGGTGGGGTCGAAGCCAACGCACCAAGACTTCGGCGTAGCTCAGATACGCTGGACAGGGTACATGTGTGGTGCTCAAGAGGAAAATGGATTTGCCACCTTTACCGACAAGCTTTTCTGCGCGTGCCCGGAGGTGTTGGTTGGTGTCAACGATGTGTCCGGCGAGCGGGTCAAAGACTCCGGTCGAAACACCCAATACGTTACGACACCTACCGCCTGTGGTGCTGGCCCTCGACTCCCTCAACCTTCACCGTAGCGATCTCCGTGTGAAGCGCCGGCGAGGACTGTCCGCATGCCGCCCTAACCCATCCCCCGAAACCAAGGCCGTGCCCTTGGAACACTTTGAAGGAGATAGCAGCGTGCATGACTTTCAAGTCACTGAACGTGTGTGTGCCGATCGTCTCCATTCACTGGTAACAGCGTTCTGGCGCCAACATTAGCAGACTTGCTAAACCGTTAGTTAATCTCCACGGCAGTTAGATGAGCTGTGTCTTTCGTGCCTCGAATTCTCTCTACACCTTCGAAAAAATCTCCGAACTCGCACAAGATAGGAACTACGGTGGAATGTGTAGAACTGTTGGGACGTTAACAATGCTATTCCACGAACACGTATCTTCCGTCAGTTCCGGACGGACGAGAAACACCTTTCTCCACCAAGTTTAAAGAAACGCTGTGCTTGCACTTTGCGCCTTTCTGTTGCCCTTTCAGCCAAACAAGCGTTGAATCGATTGGGCGTTCCACGCACATCGTCGATGATGTGACGAATACGATCAAGGCAGCGCAAGAAGGTAAGGCATTCATGCCTGCGCGGGTGTGGGACCGCATTCCCGAAAAAGTCACGGATACATCCTTCATCTGGGTCGGGAGCACCCAGATCTCTCACCGCACCGCGAGAACTGACATTGGTGCCCCGATGCACAAGGCCATTTCGAATCAGATCCCAACCAGCCTTTACAGGCTGCTCAACCTCACGACATGATCACCAGTCCTGTCTTCACCACAATCAAGGCTGACAATTGGCCTAAGCACAAAATAATAAACCCAAGCGAGATTTGGCCGACAAACTTCACATACTTACAGCAGAGGTTTTTGACTGGTGCTGGTGCTACTGCTTTAGCGGAAGAACTCGACAACGACAACCGTTATGTCATTGCGTGGAAGCTCACGGTGCCAGCCTCTTCGATCGTGACCGAGCTTGTCAAATGGATGGAATACAATATCACGTGCGCGGCGCACAATACCATCTTCAGACCGCCACGTGGAAGGAGAAGGACTGCAACCTACCTGATCAACAGACGTGTAATGTGACTGCGATATGGGGCGAACCCGGCCATCGTACAGGAACAGGAGCCGATCTCACTTACCTCGAATAGTTTTTGGCCCTGGTCTAATTTGAGCGCCGGAAGAGTGGCAGCAAGGAGCTCATCGGCTACATCTCTTGACACTTGATGTGTATCATCTTATCCAACAGCAAATCCACATATATGCGGGGCAAGACGCCAATGTCGCCCTACTGAGGCGCCAAGTAGGTCGTCCCGGCAACGGCCCAAGCATCGCACAAGTCCCGAGGGCTTCACCTTGCTCGCCAGGGTCGAGACGCTTCCACTTCCGACCGTGGGAGGGGGGTATCTCTCCAACGAATCTTCCCGAGAACCACGAGAGGCTAACCAGACGTTGACAATGATTGTTGTTGGGCAGTAGGACTGAACGGCGCCAATCACAACCGCCACGGCCCCACAGGTGCTAACCCCCTCCAGAAGAAACGTGGTGCCGATCACCGCCATCGCACAGTTGGCAATATCGCCAAGGACGCCCAAGTCCGAGCTTGCAGATAGCCCACAACCCCGCGATCAAAGCAGCCAAGGAACCAGCATCCACTCGGTGTGGGAACGGACCCAAACCCACAACAGTGGCAGCCAATTGCCCAGAAGTCGAATCCACGAACACCGCAGCTGCCACTGGAGCATCACCTTCCCCATCAGCGGCAGTGTGGCTGCGTCGGAATGCGATCAGCCTCCAACTCACGACACCCTATCGATCACAGCCGCAGCGGTTCGCGGGATTCGAGCACAGATTACTCCCCTTCGCGTTTCAGAAAGAGCGTCGGGAAAAAGATACATGTCCTACAAGCACACAAGATATTACGTTTGAATTTGTCTCTTTCACCCCTCTGTCCTATTCCGCTTGAGTCTGGAACTGCTGTGCTTGCGCACCAATGGCTCGTGCAGGGCCTCATGTATTCTAGCAACTTTCTTCTCCCCGAGACCTGGGCACAAGGACAGTTCGCCGGTAGTCGCATCCCTTCGAAGGTTTTACAGTTGGGACGTCTTTTGTCGCTACCCACCGCTGACAAACCAGCATCCGCTGTCAAACCTCACGTTGCCAGAGAGCCTAATGTTCCGCCCACGGGCTATCTGCTCGTCTCTCGTGTCAGGCACCTCGCGAGACAAAAAGAAGCGGATGGTGCGATGATGCTCCCCACACTCGATAGGGTGGCCATATATTATTCGTTCACGCCGGTAACCCACTCACGGATCGCCGAAAGTCACCACATTAGTGTACACTCTGTTGCGAATCTCTATCTTTCCTCCTGCTGTGCTTCCCTAACGCGACAAGGGCTCAGCAGTCCCATTAACCGCGTCGTTGTGCACTAACGGCTATGGACTACTAAACTAGAATATTTCTGATACAAACCAAGTGTGGGCCTGTCATATTTCGAAAGGCAAAGGAACACACACATGATGCGTCCAAGACGGAACAGCAACAAAAAACGCCGTACTCTACGGTCGCGTACGAACCCGCTGCTAAGCCAGTATGTGGTTTCAGGACATCCAATCGTCTTTCTCGCCGCATCTCTCACATGCGTACATCGCAGTGAGGTACGTCACCTCGTTTGGGAAAACTCCTAGCGCCCGCATTTCAAAGAGCACGTCAACTGCCGTTCCCCATTGGTCCCCGTTTCCGCAAGCGTCGATTGCTGCGTTGAAGCTGTTAACGTCGGGAGCAAGTCCAAATGTCGGCATCTTTCTCAGCAGCACCGTTGCCTCCTTCCATCGTCCGTCCATTGCACAAGCGTTGATGGCCGAGTTGTAAGTGACGACATCGGGGGAAAGCCCAACCGCCAGCATGTCTCTCAGCAAAACGAGAGCTTCCTCCCACAGTCCGTCCGCTGAGCATGCACTCATGGCGAACCTGTAGTTGATGGCATCTGGGGTAAGCCCTACCGCCGGCATCTTTCTTAGAAGATCAATCATCGCATTCCATCGACCCCCTTTCGCACACGCATCGATGGCTGTCCGGTAGCTGATGGCGTCGGGGGTAAGCCCCATGCTCGGCATCTCTCCTAGTACATCTAAAGCCTCCTCCCACCGACCCCCTTGCGCGCAAGCGTTGATGGCTGTGTTGCAGCTGACCACGTCTGGGGTTATTCCCTGCCCCTGCATCTCTCTAAAAAAACCAAGAGCCTCCTCCCACTGCCTTCCCATAGCACATGACGCAATGACCGCGCTGTAGGTGATCACATCGGGGGCCAACCCATGCGCCGGCATCTCCCTCAGCAGATCAACGGCAATCTTCGATCGACCAGTTTTCGCACAAGCATCGATGGCAGAGTTGTAGCTGATGACGTTGGGTATAAGCCCCGTTGCTGGCATCTCTCGTAGAAGCCACAACGCCTGTTCCCACTGACTCGCTTGTGCGCAAGCGTCAATGGCCGCGCTGTAGTTTATGACATCCGGGGGCACTCCATGCGCCTGCATCTCCTGCAGTAAGTCGATGGCCTCCCTCCACCGCCCCCCCTTTGCACAAGCGGAGATCACAATACCGTAGCTGATAGCATTGGGGGTTACCCCCTCCATCGGCATCTCTCTCAGCAGGCCCACGGCCTCTTCCCACTGCCCCTTCTTGGCGCACGCGCTGATGGTTGAACTATAGGTGATGACATCGGGGGCTACGCCGTGCTCCTGCATTTCCCGCAGTAAAGCTACAGCCTCTTCCCACTTACCCCACTTCGCGCAAGCACCGATCACGATGCTGTAGGTGATGATATTGGCGACCATCCCCTTCGTCGGCATCTCCATCAGCAGGCGGAACGCAGGTTCCCACTGTCCCCTCTTGGCGCAAGCATCGATCACCGTGCTGTAAGTGATCACGTCTGGGGCTAGGCCGACCGCTGGCATCTCTTGTAGCAGATCCACGGCAGTCTCCCACTGCCCACCCTTTCTGCACGCCGAGATAGCTGAACTGTAGGCGATGACGTTGGGTTTTACTCCTTGCCCTTTCATTGATCTCAGCAAGCCCACAGCTTCCTTCCACCGACTCACCTTTGCACAAGCAGCAATTGCCGAGCTGTAGGTGACAACGTCGGGCGGAGTTCCTCGTGCCGCCATCGATGCCAGCAGCTCAAGCGCCCTTTCCCATTGCCTCGCGTTGCCACAGGCGGCGATGGCTGAGCTGTAATTCTGGGAGTCTGGCTTCACCCCCTGCTCCTGCATCCTGTCCAGAACATCTAGTGCCTTCCTCCAGTCCCCGTCCTGCTTCGCTTCGCGCAATGTCGCCTTCAACTGGGACATAGACATGCTTGCCTGCCGGCCGCCCTTGTCCGTTTTGGATTTTCGTTGCTGTCGCGGGGGGGTACTTGAGTCTGCGTCCCCAGCCCTAACCCCTGAGTCCCGGTAAGGCCGGGCGCCCAGTTGCTGTCTTTTTCTCGGCCCACTCTCAAGCTCCGTGTCGTTGGCAGCATCGCCGTCGGGAGCATGCGCTTCGAGAGCGAAGGGTATCCTGGCTGCCCGCAGTCGCCGGGGGCGACCCCGGCGTGTTCGGGGGGCTCCGCAGAGGCCTCCCGAAGCACTGCACGTGGCGGCCTGGCGGGGGGCTGTGTCTTGCAGGCTGTGGCGGTGCGTGACACCTACATCTGCTGGGGGGGGGGGGGGGGGGATTGGGTCAATGTTTTTGTGCATGACCGGTGAAGGCTAAGCCCGTGTGGTGGAGGGGAAATAGCTGGATGTGCAGAACCAGCACGAACATGATGGTGCGGCTAATGTTATGAACTAACGACTTCCGCAACAAATCGCTGTTCATCCTGCACCAACATACACCAAAATAATAACGCTTGCTACGTGGCAGGCGAAGACAGTTCACTGGCCACGCCCATAATCTTATCTCGCCGAGTTTTCTTGTTGGTCATGTCATTCACCAGCCGTTGCTCGCAGTTCCGAAGTCCACACAGACTGGAGGATGTGTACAAGTACTGTTCCCCACCAAGAATGACGAACCGTAGATCGTCCAGTACACGAAGTTTTTTAAGGCAAGCGCGGAGCGCGGGAGAG